TTTTGGGATTTTTACCCCGTTYCTAAACCCTGAGCCCCTCCCTGAAGCTTTCAGTTGTGACCCTGTCACTTTGGCACTCTGCAAACACAGAAATCAATCCAGCCCAGCCCAGTTTGGCCTTTTTTTGGAGGGTGTGGGGATTTTTTTTTTCCTTTTTAATTTTTGTTTTTGTCTCCAGCCTGACAGCAGATAAGACATTGCACAGATCTGGGCAGCTTTTCCCTTTCCTGAWTCCAAAAAGAAAAGATTTTTCAAGGTCCTCTAAGGACAGGCAGAATCAGACACAGCCTTTTCTTTCCAGCAAAAATTCTGTTATCTCCTCCTGTTTTCATACAGATAAACCCTTCTCCCCCTCATTTTACAGCTGCAGGAAATTTGGGAAAAGCCAGCTTTGGAAAGGTGCTGTAAAGGATTTTAGTTYGGATTTAATGCCACAAACTTGAGGCATAAAATCTGCACTTTTAACAGAGGAATTTAACCCCAAATCGCAGCAAAATAATATTAAAACTGTTAGGAATGGAATGGTTTCGAAATAAAAATTAGGAATTTCACTAAACCCGAAAAATCTGTTCTTTTTCTTACATCCTTTCCCTTTTTACGGCAGTATTTTAAATACTTTTAGCAGAAATAACTTTAAATATTTAAGCAGAATAAAACTAACAAAAAAAAAAGAATATTTTTGCTTTCCAAACTCGCCTTGTCTGGGTATTTCTGGAGGAGCTCCCGGACTTTGGCCGCATTGTTGAGGGCAGCACAAATGACCAAACACCCGGCGTGCTCCGACTCCGTCCTCTGTGACAGCAGCTTCTCCAGGACTGTCACCAAAGTACCTGAAAAAGGGGAAAAAATGTGAAAAAAATGCAGATTTCTGAGTGTTTGAGGTGACCAAAGTGTCACAGCTCCATGGGAAGGGCGAAGGGAAAAATGTTGGAAGTTTTCCCTCAAGTCTGACTTGAGCAAACAAGAACAGCTGATTTGAGCAGCCTTTGGTTCTCCACCCCTGGAACATCTGGATTTGAGCACGCTTTGATTCCCCACCCATAGGAGAACATCTGGATTTGAGCACCCTTTGGTTCCCCACCCAGGGAACATCTAGATCTGACTACCCCGGCCTCTCCACCCAGGAAAGAACATCTGGATGTGACCACCCTTGGGCTCTCCATCCATAGAACATCTGGATTTGATCACCCTCTGGCTCTCCACCCATGGAAAAACATCTGGATCTGACCACCCTTTGGTTCCCCACCGAGGGAARAACACCTGGCTGTGAGCACCCTTCRTAAGAACATCTGGATCTGACCACCCTACAGAAGAATTTGACCACCCTCTGGTTCTCCATCCATTGAACATCTGGATCTGACCACCCTTCAGAATAACACCTGGCTGTGAGCACCCTTTGGTTCTCCACCCACAGAAGAACATCGGGATCTGACCACCCTTCAGAAGAACACCTGGAATGTGACCACACTTCATAAGAACATCTGGATCTGATCACCCCTCAGAAGAACACCTGGATGTGACCCCGCTTTGGTTCCCCACCCACAGAACACCTGGTTGTGACCACYCTTCGGAAGAACAYCTGGATGTGAGCAYCYTTCAGAAGAACRTCTGGAWTTGACYRCCCTCTGGTTCTCCATCCAYAGAACACCTGGATCTGACCACCCCTCAGAAGAACACCTGGCTGTGACCACCCTTTGTAAGAACATCTGAATTTGACCACCCTTTGTAAGAACATCTGGATCTGACCACCCCTCAGAAGAACATCTGGACCTGACCACCCTTCAGAAGAACACCTGGATGTGAGCACCCTTCGTAAGAACATCTGGATCTGACCACCCTTCAGAAGAACACCCGGATTTGACACCCCTCAGAAGAACACCCGGCTGTGAGCACCCTTCATAAGAATATCTGGATCTGACCACCCCTCAGAAGAACACCTAGCTGTGACCCCCTCTGCAGAGTCCGACCCCACCGCCCCCAGAGCTCTGGGTCCACCCCTCACTTTTGGGCTCCTTGGCGCTGTCGGTGGTCATCAGGTTGGCCTCCTCCTCCCTCTGGTAGGCCGTCAGGCACGCGGGGTTGAAGGTCCACGACTGTCCCCCCACAGCCACGCGCAGATCTCCGTCCCCGTAGACCTTGATCACCTTCCCGATGTGCCCCAGCGTCTGCAATGAAACCAGAGAGTTTTTTTTCCCCAAAACTGCTTTTTTGGGGGGGGGTTTTGTTCATTTTTCATGGCTTCTGCTGTGTGAAGAGAAGCACTGGACAAGTGATGCACTCACAGACACCACAGGGTTCTCACCAGTTTCACTGGTTTGGCACAGAAGGGCTTTCCTTCTGTGGGGGCTGGTAAGAACTGGTCAAACTGGGACCAGGAATGTTTTTTTATGGGCTTTGCTGGCTCCTGCATCCAATTTTTCAGTCATCCTGAGCAGACCAGACCATTTTTCCAGTTTCTGCCTCACTCCAGAGAATCAGGAATGGCCAGAAAGGGATGTGCTGATAAGAACTGGTCAAACTGGGACCAGGAATGTTTTTTTTCTGGGCCTTACTCACTCCTGCATCCCATTTTTCAGCCATCCTGGGCTCATCAGACCATTTTTCCAGTTTCTGCCTCACTCCAGAAAACCAGGGAAGAACTAAAAGGACTTTGGTCACAGAAACCTCRAGTTGGTGGCAGCCAAATCCTTTTTGTCAGATCCCACCTTGTCCTGTTCCGTCACCAGCACTGGGGATTGGGAATTCCCAGCAGGAATTTTGAGGGGTCCAAGGCCACTTTGGGGTGCTGGGGGAAGCTCAGGAGATTATGGGATGTCCTGGAATGGAACTGGACACTCACTGGGGCCATCTCATCAGTCCACTCGCCGTGACCAGGTTGGAAGCGTTTCACCGTTTCCATGTCGTCGATGACCCGGACCACATCACCAACCCAAAAAGTGTTGAGCTGTGAGAAAAGGAAAATTAGGAGGTTTTGCGGAGTGAAGGTACAAAACAGACAAAAAAATTTAAAAAAAAAAAAAAATTAAAGAAAAATAATTTTAAAAAATGGTAAAAAAAAATAGAGATTGGAACCTTCCAGCCTGCTCCCCAAAATCCCAACAAATAACACAGCACCGAGTTGATTTCAGGGTAGAATGTAAGATTTTGGGGTAGAATATAAGATTTTGGCATAGAATATAAGATTCTGTCAGCTGCCAATAATATTTTCCCAGTAGGAATCTCAAGAAACAATAAAGTTCAAAAACTCCTTTATCAAACCGACACCGAAGAAACAAAAGGACACATGAAATCTCAAAAAGGATTTTCCTTTTTGCTGGGGATACGAGCAAATACCTGGGTTCTGACCCAACAGGTAAAAGGGTAAAAGGGTAAATAAAAGGGTTTTTCTGCAGAATTTCCCACCTTGGTCAGGGCTCCAGGGTGGAAGGTCCAGCGGGTCTCACTGTTGAACTGGACCCTGACGTCCCCTCTGTCCGTGATCCTGTGCACAGTGCCCGTCTGCCCGATGAACTTTGGGTAAGAGAGAGGACAAAATAAAAAAAAATTAAGGAAATTCAAATTAAATCCCCCTAAATTCATCAGGTTGTTTAATAAATCACTTCAGGTAGGGGGAGGAAAAAAACAGAAAAAAAGAAGACATTTAAATTAAATCCCCCTAAATTAAACACATTGTTTAATAAATAAGGTTGGATCCTGTGAGGTTATTTTGAGTTTTGGGGTCCTTTTTGTTTGGGTTTTTTTGAGATTTTTTTTGTGGGAGTTTGTGTTTTTATTGGTTTTTTGCTTCCAAGACTTTTAAGCAACTCCTATGCAMGAATCTCACCCAACAGAACCTAAAAATCACTCAAATTCCAGCATCCCATCACCAAAAAAACTTTAATTTATGAGACAAATTTAAAGACTCTACAACTTTAAAGACCCACAAAGACTCCCTGAGTGCTGCAGAACAAGGAAAAAGTCAAAATGACACCCAAAGGAGCAGCCAAGCACCCACCTCAGCCATTTTGGGATTCCAGCCTCCGTGGCCCTCCTGCATTTCCCGCAGGATGTCGATGTCCAGCAGGCACTTGACCTTGTCCCCGTGCTGGAAGGGATGTCTGTCCGTGCTCTCCTTCCTCTGCAGCTCAGCTGGCTTCCCTGGGGAAGGTAAAGAGCATGAAAAATTAATAAAGAGCATAAAAAATTAATGAAGAGAATGAAAAATTAGCATTAATTGGGGTGGAATGGTGCAAAACCCCTTTTCATGCCCTATACAGTCTATAGGGCAGCACTGTGCAGAGAAATCAGGAGGATTTAGATTT